ATTGCAGGATTTTTTTCTTTTTTCTTTTTTTTTGCAATACTAGGGATTGAAACCAGGGCCCCAAACATGCTAGGAAAGTGCTCTGCCACTTGAGAATGTCCCCCAGCACAGAAATTTCTTAATCATAATAGATGTACTGCTCTTTAGAACTCCTTGTTTTAAGAACAAAGAATCCTAACATTAACATAGTAAAATATAAGGCTTCACACTTAGCAAATAAAGACTGTTCTCTAAACTTCTCACTGAAACTTTAAAAAAAAATAAATGCAGCATGTATTTTTGAAGACAATGCAAAGAGATGTAACACATAAAATTTAAACTCAGAAAATATTCTGGTAATGTAATACAAATAACAGTACTTTATTATGACGGAATATATCTGTACCTGCACACATCCAGCTAACATCTCATAGAGAATATGAGCACGTTTTTTCATCACTCTGACATCTACCATGGTAGAATCTGCACACTGACCATTTTGGATTGGATTTATAAATCTATTCCTGAACTCCTTAATAGATCCAAGCAAATTTTCCTTGATAAAGTTAACCATGCAATGATCTAAGAAAGAAGACATTAATTCATTAGCAACATTAATGATAGTTTAAGACTCAGAAAAATTCCCCCAGTGAATTGTTCACATCAAAAGTACCTTCCATGGAAGCTTTAGAACTGAGCTATATACAAAGAAAAAAATCCAGAATATCAAATTAAGTGTAGAATAAACATTGGTTGTAAGTCTGATCTAGAACTGGATTACTTAAGCCAGATGAGAAACTGAAATAAAATCATCCTTAAACCTGAATATAAAAAAATGACTTCAGGACATTTTATTTTAAATCGAATCACTATTTAAGACATATGATTTATAAAGCAAGCTGTCTATAACGCTAACCATGATTTTTATGGTCAGTGAAGGCATTTTTATGAAGAAAACGTAGATACTAAGTGAAAATAAGTGTAGTAGATAATAAGCTACTATACCAACATTTATATTAGCTGATTCATTTCTAGAACCCCTTAAGAGTGCTATCAACTGTCCTATACTAATTGGTGTCACAATGTGGATCAGTATTTCTATAAATGGATAGAAAAGAGGGAAATGAATATTAACTGATTCATTTCTAGAACCCCTTAAGAGTGCTATCAACTGTCCTATACTAATTGGTGTCACAATGTGAATCAGTATTTCTATAAATGGATAGAAAGAGGGAAATTTCAATGGGAAAAAGAAAAAAGTAGGAGGCTATGATAAGAAATCTTTAATTTGTTGTGCTGAATAATCTCATCTTTCTTCTTTAGGATCACCACACACATATGAAAATGGGGAAATTCACAAGTTACTTCTCAGGGTTTATTTCATCTGTCATTGACCATTCTGTCATAGATGCAGCACAGTTGTCCTTCTCCCACCCCCACTTTCCTGAAATGTTCATGTTCATCACTTAAAAAAATTTCTCAATTAGTATCTGCCCCTAAATTGGATACATGCCCTTATAATATCTCCTAACTAACTCTATAGGCATTTGTACAATTAAAGAAATCAAAAGACTTCTGATACTTTTAAAATGTATTTCCTTATTTATATCTGAACATTCACAATGGCGTATCTCTTAACTATGGTTTATCACTTACATTTATAAAGTATTTCACTTGAAAGTGTGGCATTCTTTCACAGTAGATTAAGATGGGACTATATAGATCATGGTCAGGGACTATACCAAAGAGATGAAAGGCAAATGGCAAAAGTTGCAAAAATGTATCCAAGACCATACCAATATTCTACAGCATAATTGTATATATTAACTCACACTCAATTAGGTTATTTTGAAGTGGTGTTCCTGTTAAAATAATTCTCCTCCTTGATCGTATAGAATTCATAGCTTTTGAAACAGCAGACGCTTCATTTTTAAGAATATGGCCTTCATCACACACAACAAAGTCAGGGCCTATAAAAATGTATACAAAACAACACTTAATTAAAATAAAATTGGAAATGTGATCATTTTAAATGAATAAAGTTAATCCTTTTATAGCGCTGGTGTTATAAAAAGATAAAACATCATTATAAATATAACCATGTTATCTGCCACCGTATATGGTTAATGTGGCACCAATTAGTATCAATTATATCCCAATAGTAGAGTATTAAATAACTTCCACAAATTTTACTTGAAGTCCTCTGAGTATACAAAACTAGGCAAGAAAAAAATGTTGAGGATTTCAAAGAGTAATACACAAGGCAAATTTGATCAAAGTACATTACATGCATGTATGTGAATAGCACAATGAAACCCCTTTGTACAATTAATTTATGCTGATAAAAAATATCTAGCATCTGAGAAAATAAAAAGAAACAGAACAAAGATATTGAGGAGAAAAAGATTTCCCCAACAAATCGGGAGTAAATGATAAATCAAACATCTTTTAGAATTAAAATATTTTAGAATACTTATTTTGTATTATTTATTGTGACTTTTAGACTTATTGTAACATAATAGTTTCGCATTAGCAGATCTAGTTCAAATTATTGGCAAAGACTAACAGCAATTTACATACATGTGAAAAGATAAATTTCAAAACCTACGGTGTAAGAAATAATATAATCTATCATAAGAGACCATGCAATTATTTCCCACTTAACTTATTCCAAATAACCAGCACTCATTACTAGGGGAAAAAAATTAACTAACAAACTAAAACTAAACTTGTGCCTCACAGCTCAGAGTGACACTCAAGAAATCCTACAGGCTTATTTTTTTAAATAAGATACATTGTCTGGTAAAGTATCCTGCATATGCAATTTACTTGCTGGTTAATATACACATATTACTTACATACAACAGCAGCAGGTGTCAAACTACCCTCCATTTGTTACACATTAAATTCACTTTCTACATGGCTTTCAAAAATAACTTCTTCAAATAATATAACTTTTATTCGGTATGCAGATGGGGCCACCCAAACAGAAAAAAAAAGTTAAATTACAAATATATTTTATAAAACTAAATACTGGCTTTGTATTAAAAGACTAGTTATTGTTAGGATAAAAGTTTTCTACAAGGAAAACTTACCTTTTACGCAGTGATTTAAATGATTTCTGCTAGGGAATATTCAGTCTTTGAGGGTGTGATGAAATGGGTACTTTTTTGTTTTGGTTTTTTTGCAGTACTTTTCTAGGAATTTATTCCTTTCAAAAGCACCCAAAGATACATAAAAAGAAATGTTTTCTGCATCATTGTTTGTTATGGGGGTAAACAAGAAACAACCTAAAAGCTTGTGAAAGTGGATCTACCAAAGGAAGTTTAACCATAGTATAATGGAAGGAGTTTTAGAGTTGAAACAAATGGTGTATATTTATGGGTACAAACCTTGAATGATATGCCAAATATATTATTAAATAGATCACCAGCCCAGAAAAAATATCACAATTCTAAAATTTTAAGTGCAGTTTCTACTGAATGCATATCACATTCACACAACGATAAAAAAAAAAACTTAAGGTAAACCCACACAAACTCTCCCATCCCCATCATAAGTCTCAAGTGATCTATAGTATAGGCCTTATTTTATCTGTGTATACATACATGTCTGAGTAGTCCTGCCCAAGGAAAGGTCTGCTTTCAATGTCCTCCTCATAAGGTATTTTATTTACCTGGAGGCTTTGAAACATCCAGATAGTCTGGGCTAATAACATGATTTATGGTAGGGGGGCTTTTAGACCTCTGCAGGAACTGGAGATTAAGATCAATCACATGGGTGGTCATCCATGTCTATATAACCAAGCCCAAACTGAGCTACTCTGGTTAGCAATACTTCATGCATATCATCATACATCACTGCTCTCTCTGAATGACTACTGCAATATCACACCAGAAACTCTCCTGGGCCCTGCCCTATGTGCCTTTTCCTGTTGCTGATTTTAATTTGCATTCTTACACTATAATAAAACATACCATGAGTATAAAGGCTTTTTCTGAGTTGAGGCTTTCTAGTGAATTACTGAAGGGGAGGGGGCAGTTTTGAGGACCCCAAAATATTGCAATATGAAATGCACCCTGTAAAAGCACAAAAAAAATTCTGTAAGAATATACATGAACCAATAGGGATCAGATAAGGAGGAACAAAGGAAGTATTTACTTTTCCTTTTTCTTCTGTTTCTTTTTTAAGAATATGTATCACTTTTTAAATTTTCCTTAACTTAAAAGAACTGTTTGTTAGCAGAGGGAGATAAAGCCTTATCCTTAGTAAGGCTACCTGAGAGACCAAACAACAAAGCTAAATTTTGTAATTCACATTTTATTTATGAATTTTCTAACATTAAAATTTTTAAATAAAGAATTATAATGCTTAAGCCAGTGTGGAAGATACGCCCTTAGACAGAAGGATTACTTGGGGCTAGGAGTTTGAGGCCAGCCTGAGGAAAAGAGTGAAACTTTGTTTCAAACTTAAAATGCTTAAAAAAAATTTTACAGTAAGTACAGGGAGAATGGCAGCCAAGAGGTTCTGGAGAAAAGAACAGAAAAGGATTTAGAAGAAGCTTTAAGAAAACTTTGTCAGGGCTGGGTATAAAAGCACATAGCTTCCCTAGCAAGTACAAGGCCCTGGAAAGAAAAGCAGGAGTCAAGGGGAGAAGAGAAGAGGAGGGAAGAAAATAAAATTTATTCTGTTCAAAATTCAAGTTTGAATGAAAGAACCTATTAACTTAAGATGGTTCATTGCACTATGGAAACCTATCATTATTTTACAAAATTATATAAGCAGTTCTTATTACTTAAATCTGACAGTGCTTTGAATATTATGTACACATGGGCATGCACACATTATGTTCTCTGAAGTTAGAAAACTTAGACCATCCTTCCAAAAACACCAATGTGAATCAGAAGAGTCTACTGTATCAACTGAAGAACATTAAGTAGGAAAATACGTATTCACAATAACTGGTATGTCAAGGGATAGGCCAAATAAAGATACAGTTACACAGTATTATAGTTAAATATAAGATTTTAACACGTTACATTGCCACCTGTTGGTGAATTTAAAAAAGTAACAAACTCTTCATGCCTTTGAGAAGCAGCAGCTCCCCAGACACACACTTCATCTGCCACGATGCTCTGCTGCACCACAGGCCCAGAAGCATGGAGCCAAGTGACCATGGACTAAACCCTCTGAAACTGAGATCCAAAATAAATCCTTCCTTCTTTAAGTTGTTTCTGTAAGGTACTTGGTCACAGCAATGAGAAAAGTAACTTAAGACATAAGGTACAATGCACATTTATAAATACTACACTAAAATGGTAATTCTATCAAGTTTCCATTTAAGCCGCTATGTAGAAACTTAATAGCAAGAAAATAAAAAGACAAATTAAAATTTGAAAAAAATAACAAAAAATCAAAAAGATTAGGGAGAAAGTAATTAAATTGTTTGGAACTGTCCCAAATCTCAGAGCCACTGAAACCAGGAAAGATAACAAAATGATTGCTGTCACTTTGCATCACTAGGGTTTGGAATGTTATGCAGCAACAGATAACCAAAGAAGCTGAGCTCAGAATGTATACTACTATGTAACAATACTGGTCAACTCCAGTTTCCATCAATGTGTTTAATTTTCCAGGTTCTAACTAGATAGCCTAATGCTATCTCTTTCCAGGTTTATGACCTGACTCCATCCTGAAGAGCCTGACATCACAAACTGCTTGTTTGGTTCTAAAGTTTTGCTTCAATTCTGAACTTCAATTCAAACTTTTCATCTACATTAGACCCAAACCAGGGTCTTCAGATACTTAGCTGTTATTTATGATTCTTCCCCATCACCAATTTTGTATCAAATCAGAGTAAAGGAATTGGGGAGGAGGAGGAGAAAGAGGGAGGGAGGAAGGAAGGGTTTAGAAAAGGACTGTGAGGCATGGTTCAAGTGAGAGGCATGAGTTCAATCCCCAGTATTGTTTCCCTCCGCCAAAAAAGAAATGCCATTTAGATTATATGGAGGAAAATGTACATTAATACTCAGGTTACCACAATGAGTGAAAAGTGCTTAGAAGGACTCAGTAAGCAATTTCAACTAGTTGTTTTATGTGAACAACAAAAAACTACAGTTAATAAAATTACAAATAGCTATCTCTAATAATTTGTCAATACCCACTGAACTCTACATTACAAAAAATAAACTCTAATACATGCAAACAACAGAGGTACTAACCTAGATAATGTAGGAAATAATTTTTGATTGTTTCTTTCATTTTACTATTTTTTAAAACAAGGATGAACTGTTATCCACACACGCAAAATAAAACAAGTGTCAATTATGAGAGTCCCTGCCTCCACCTCCCTCAGAACATCCTGAACATGGTGATTGAATAGAATAGAAAAATCAAGACAAGTCTGATTTCAAAATTTCAATAAAGCAAAAGCAGGCAATGCAAAACATCAAACATGTTTAAGTTTCTCCAGCCCACATTCCAATATAATCAACTAGCAATTAATAATGGGAATTGAACCTTAGAAAAGTTAAATTGCTCTCCTGCCCTCCACCCCACCCGCACTTACAGTTGGGGTGTACAGGTATTAGGGAATACAAAAATCAGAGGAAAAAGAATTAAAAAAAAATTCACAAAGCTGCTGTTCTTCAGAGTAGAAAGGAAACCAGAATTTTACAACTGTACAAAAAAAAATCCCAAGGCAGTTAACATAATTCATTCACAATCACTCCTACTTGAGAGAATAAAGAGATCAGTGTCTTACATGGCTCTAGGCCAGCCCCAGCAAAAAGTTAGCAAGACCTGATGTTAACAAATGAGCCCTGCATAGTGGTGCACACCTGTGGTCTAAGCTATGTGGCAGGCATACAGAGAAGGATTGTGGTCTGAAGCTGGTACCAGGTAAAAGCAGGAGAACCTATCTGAAAAGTATCTAAAGTAAAATATGGGCTGGAGGCGTGGCTCAAGTGTCAGAGTGCCTGACAAACTTGAGGCCCTGAGCCGAAAACCCAATAACCGCAAGACAACAATAACAACAAACCTATGGTTTCAGAACTAGGTCCTACAGATTCACCAGAAACTATGGATAGTGTAGGCTTCATCAAAGAAAACAGTTTCAGTTCAGATCAAGTTAAGACATTATAGATCTAGCCTGGCTGATGTGTGTCTGTAAGTGCTGTCACCCTGAACAGCTGTAAACAACAGCATGTAATTCCATAGAAAGCTTAAGGATTGAAAACAGGTACTCAGCTAATTAGATCTCCCATGCGTCACACTTTTCAGAGCTCTTCCTGTCTTCTGATCTTCAATTAGCACTCTCATTAAGACTTTGTACACTTTTTTTTAAATCTCGGTCTCTTGAACTCCTGTCTCTGTCAGGTGATGCTAAATCTTGGTCTCTGAATCTTTCTTTGGAGGATTCCCCCCTTGGATCGCCCCCTCCTCCTATCTCTGGAACTGCTGACTCTGGTGGCTGTGGCTACAACTATGGCCGCCAAAGGCAGACCGATAGCAATACCATTTCTCCTGAGACTTGACTAGAGGTCTCCTGACATGGAGTGACACTGGTGTCTGCAATGCTCTCTGGCCTGGATCTTTTGGGATTCTTGTTATGTAACTGAGACCCCCCTCAATTTTTCCCATTCTTTTCTCTCCCTTTCTCCTCTTCATTTCAGACATCTCTGGTTTCTTTTCTCCTGCTTCTAAGCTCAACTCTCTTTAATTCTTCAAGCCTCTCTCTTATTTCAATAAACCCTACATACAGTTTGCTCCCAAAATGATCAGCCAGGAGCCTGTCGTTACCATGAAGGCCTAAATAGGCAGAGGAAACTACCCAGACTCAAGGTTTCTGCTGCCATAAGCTGGAAGGGAGCTGCCTGAGGATTCTAACAAACTTCCTGTTTCTCTTTTCTTTGCCTGTGCTTTCTCTATTTCATCAATTACTTTCTGAGATTCTTCACATTCCTTTGGCCACTAGTCCTTGACTAACAATTTTCTACCTTCATTTAACTCATGAACATGTTCTGCCTTTGCTATCACTTCAGCACTAATCTCTTCTTGAGTTTCTGCTAATCTTTTCTTTGCCACTTCTTCCCTTCAAATCACAGTATGCAGTAACTGCAGATGACCCATGGTAACAAGTTCAAAGAAAAAATTCTCCTCTTTGAATGCAATTTCATAATCTGCTTAAAGCTAGGTCATGGACTTTCTGACATTCTACAAGATCCCTTCTAGTTACAGAAAGGACAAAATGGGGACAACAGTTAAGTCGAGTCTTGTCTACTCTCATCACTGAATTTGAGTGGCTGGTGTGTAGTATCCCAGATTCAGGAAGTGCCCATCAACTGGTCCAGCACTGCAGGCATCTGAGCCTGCCCTGACATGGCATAGCAGGCAGACTGACAAGCAGGGGTGACGTGTAGATCGCGCCCTTTGGGGGAGAGTTACAGGGAATGAGTCAGAGGACGTAAAATGCTGTGTTGGTGGCTGCCGCTGCCAAAAAGTTATGAAATAAGGGAGCCAAAAGGGTCACAAGAGAGTCTGGGCTGTGCTCCTCAGAATGACATGTACGGGAAAGATAGCAGCCCTATAAAGCAACTTTTGTGTCCTCCCTCTCCATCCAGTTACTGGGACAGAAATGACATGGGTTAAGCAATCTCTTGCCTCCAACACCATCTCCTGCTAGAAGCCACAAATCTCCCCCACCCGCCATTGCTGGCTCACTTCCACCATCAGCACTCCTCATGGAAAACGATATTTTAAATGCAAATTATAGAGGTATAGACAAAAGAAATAAAAACATTATACACTTGCTGGTAAATTTGTTTATCAGAGGGATATAGATAAACAATTATGAAAATACTTCACAAGTATGAGGCTGAACAAATAAGTAAATGAACAGTGAATGGCAGGAATCAAAATTCTCACTGTTGGAAAGGCAAGTTAAAGATAAACAAAAAGAAAGGTAAAATGAACCTTGTAGTACTGAGTTAGAGCTGAAGACACCATTATGAAACATGTTTCAACATACACGCACACACACACACACACACACACACACACACAGACACACTCATTAGTACACATGAATGTATCATCTGTTCTGCCCTCTGAGAGGTCCTAGAAGTAATGACATACTCAGCACCCAGATATTTGTAAATGTCATTTTTCAGTAAAAGGAATCATGGTGTCTTGGAGAAATGGCTGATTCTAGGCACAAGACAATATAAAATGAGCCTGGAGTTTCCTGTAGTAACAGAAAGTAATGAAGCGCTCCCAAACAAAAAGGACGGGGATACATCAAGGGGACAGGCACAGAAACTGAGCAAGGAAAGCTCCCAACAGTCAAAGTAAAACAGTTGGACTAACAAAATAAATACGTAATTAGTTTACAGCCCATTACATAAAAAGAAATAGATGAGTTCATACTGACCTAAATCAATGGGTTAAGAAGAAATAAATGTTTCTTAAAGAGAAAATACCCCAAAACTTGATGTGTAGATACTACCCATTATTGGAGACAGAGTTTAATTTCTGCCTTCCTCCCATTCCAGAGGGTTAGATTTAATAACTGGCTTCCTGGAACATACCTATAATCCCACCACTCAGGAGGCTGAGGCAGGAGGATTGTGAGTTCTAGCCCGGCCTGGACAACATAATGAGACTCCATCTCCAAATAAGCAAGCAAACAAATAGGAACAAATAAAAACAGGAACTCTATAGGAGAAAAGTGGCAGACACTACTTTAAGTTCCATCACTATTAATGTCATGCAGATGTCACATACAACTTCATAAGATGTGACAAAAAGGGTACTTCACCTCTGGTGTATTTTTTTAAAAACCTATGAACCTCAGTTTAATCACAAGAAAAAAGTGAAACCCAGATTAGTGAACATTTTACAGGATACCTGGACAAGGACTCCTCAAACCTGACAAGATTAAAAAAAACTAAAGACTGAAAAACTGTCAAAGACAAGAAGGTGCGGAGACACGATAGCTAAATGCAATGTGGTACCGTGGTTGGAAAAACTGGTTTAGAGTTTAGTTAATAATTGACATGCCAAAACAGATCAATTTCTTAGTACTGGAAAATCTATCACGGCAATGTAAGATGGAAACAATGGGGAAACTGGGTGCAGGGAATATGGGAACTTTCTGTGCTGTCTTTTCAACTTTGCTATAGATAGAAAATTATTATAAAATAATTTTTAAATGTTACTAAGTGATGAACATGTGAAGAAATATGGCCTTTCATATTAGGAGCTTTAATTTCTTTTTCCACATTTCCTCATGAACAAATAAGAACATTAAGAACCTAAAACTACTGTTTTAAATTGTTCCAGAGAAACCTTATAAAAAATGAACCAACCACAGGATTTTTTGACATCCACTTTGATCATCTGAAAAAGATAAACTTATTAGGTCTTAGATTTACAATGGCAAAGTTACTTTGGTTTATATTAATTATATCATTCTTCCTCTCTTAAAAAAAAAGAGGCAAAGCCACGGACTTTAAAAACTAGTGTTAATTTTGACTGTGACAATTATCGAGACTTTCTCAACAAATATAAAACTTACAGTATCTTGAAGTAATGATATGACAAAATAACATTTAAAGAAGAAAAAATTATACACATAAATTTATAATCTTAAATAAAACTTAATTTTTGTTTTGGACATAGAACGTGTAGCTTTTCCACAAGGCCAATAAGATGAACTATTTGGCCATCATATCAAATTACTATTAAATAAGGATAGACAATATTGCAAATATCAGCCTCCCATAGTGATGGCACTTTAAAAGACAGATAAGCAAGCAGCAAAGAGAAGAGAGGCTTAAGAACTGTTTTCCGAGTATGGGGAGAGTTTTTTTGTTTTTGTGTGTCTGTTTTTGAGACAGGGTCTTGTTTATATAGCCCAGATTGGCCTTGAACTCTTGATCCTCATGCTTCAGCCACCAAAGTGCTGGGATTGTAGGCTTGTATGCCCTCACCTGACTCTGGAGAAACTTCTTGTTATCAGACAAGAATGTTGAGACTGTTGAAAAAAAGCTACAATTGTGACATAGGCACTTTTGTTTTATGAGGTGTTCTATGAAAATCCTAAACACTTCCACACTCGGAAATTAAAGTTTGAACATCTAGCAACATTGAGGGTGATTTTACCTTACTGAAATGAACCTTGATACTAAGAATCAAAAAGAAGGCAAAAATCTGAAGATAAATGAAGGAAATACCAGTTTCTTAGCAGTTGCTCAATTAGTATTTGTTAACTTGTCTTTTTTCAACTTGCTTCTTCATGTCAGTGCTTGTTAATACCTTACCTGGATCAACCAAAGCTTTATTGAATATTTCTTTAAGTTTCCGACTCTTCACATTCCTTCCTTGAGCAAGATTTCTGTACATCTCATACCCTATGATCATAACACCACCATCCTCTTGCCACCTCTGAAGCATGTAACTTCTCTCCTGAGGACGTTTCACAGTGGCTAATTCGGAGACCTTTTGTGGAAAAATAATTTTTTAAATGTGATTATTAAAATGCATGAATACTAAACATTACCATTAAAATATGAGTAATTATAACTCTTACTATATGAATTTCGTGTAATCACTTTAAAGGAAATTATTTAAAATACGATACCTCAAGCTTCTCATCATCTTTTAATCCCTCTTGCCACTTCTCAAATTCATTCATCCAGTTCAAAGCAGTATTAAGAGGACAAACCACTAAAGCTGTACTAAAGTCCAATTTGTCACACAAAAGAACTGTGTGAAGAAAACTTACCACCTACAAGAAAACAAAATAAGTTACCATTTTCATTTAAATAACCACAAAAAAGTTAGAAATCAAGGAATCACACCTTAATAGATTTATTTGCTTTAAACAACAAAGCCAACCAACCAATCAACAGATCATAATTTCCAACCCACATAAAGTACAGGGAAAGAAATACAATTTTAAAATTCAACTAGGTAATGCATAAGGCCCTCCCACTTTAAAGCCCATGATTCTATGATCAATATAAATAATATGAGGATGTCACACCAAAACAAAATCCCTGGTTTCCACAGAACGCCCACCCCCCAACTTCCCCCATGTAGAAGTGAATTATGCTACACGGCACTTTTCTATTTCATTATGTTCTGATTTACTGAATCTGTAATGATTACCTTATGCTCTAAAATTACAAACATAACCAACAATTTCACATCTCTGGTACAACTCCTGCCACTTAAGAAATGCAGTAATTTTGGGGCAGTACTATGGTTTAAAACCAGGGACTTGTGTATGTTAGGCAAGGGTTAAGCCACTGAACTACACCCAAGCCCTAAAAATGAAGCGGTTTTAATACTGAAAAATTCTTATTCCTGTACTAAAACATACTGCTAAAAGATGTCAAAGAAGTTAATTTTCACCTTACAGTCTTTGCAATTGTTGTTAGCCATACCCTCAAGCCCACTGCCTCACTTCACTAGGATCTCTGCTCAAACATCACCTCTTTAAAGATGCCTTCCCCAACTCTCCATCCTCCTTTAGCACTTATTATCTGAAAGTACCTATTTCTGAATTTACTCGCCATCAGAATATAAGATTCTTGAGGAGAATCTTTTTCACTGCTTTATCACCAGCCCCAACAACAGTGCCTGGAACACAACAGAATCCAATGTATGTTAATATAAGCACAAAACAGGATGCTTACATATTCCTGAGTTCTTACCTGTAAAGTCTTACCAAGGCCCATACAGTGGGCAAGAATACATCCCGAACCTGGAGATTTCTTTGTTTTTTTTACAGATTCACAGCAACAATCCCACATAAACTGAACGCCTAAAAAAATGACAGTTTCATTAGGTTGAAAGGTCAAATTTAAAACTCTTTTCACATATTAGAAACAACCAAAATTTCTAAGAAATAGTATTAAAAACAACACTAAGCAAAAGAAATTCTTAAATGTAAATGGAATTTTTTTCTTCACTAAGGTAAATCAGACACAAGACACAAGCATACAACAGGGTAATTTCTTTTGTTCATATTATCTGAGCTATCACAGACGTTTTTTACTCCTTGGGATCGTCGGTGACCTAAGAATACTCCAAAATAAAACTTTATCCAAAGAGGGAACAGCTTCCTATCAAATACACTTTTAAGTTTATTGAGCCAATGAGGAAAAAAAATCCTAGGAGATAATTATTTCTTCTTTTATTCAATAGTAGAAACTAATAAAAAAAAGAAGCTAGCAACCTAAGAAGTAGGACTTGTATAATTTCCATTATGAATTAATTGACATACATACTCAAAATTGACTAATTCCACTCTAAAAAAGCAGAGGGCAGGGATAGTTGAGGAGCTTTCTAGTATCAATGTAGGAATGTTATCTTAAAACATACCTGAATATGTTGAAATAGCATTCCAAAATAAGGCTTTTAGTTAACTGTATCTCTTCCCTCCCCCAACCCCTTAGCCAACCACTGAAGACTAAGTGAAATGCACTTGCTGTACATACTCATCTGTAAGCAGTACTTCTTTCCCACTTAATAGCATCCACTATGTTTGCCTTCACCCAATTTTGTTCTTCCTCACTTGCTTATTAGCTATATAAGAGCAGAGATTATGTTTCTGCTCACCAATATAACCCCAATGCTTAGCAGAATGTGAAGCACAAAGAAGAAAACAAACATCAGTAAAATTTAAGTAGAAGTAAGTGAATCACATAATAGTTTCTTACCATCTACTTGATGGGGTTTCAGTTTTATAACCATGTTTCTATGAACCTGCACTAAAGGTTCTTTGGTTTCTTCATCTTCATCTAAAACCAACTTGGTTGTTATGGGACACTTGGTGGGTGAGGCATCTTCAATTTCTATCACCTACAAAAAAGGAAACTGTTGATAGCTAAAGTCATGGAAATCATTTTTGGAGCATCCATCTTAGTCAGGGAAGTTTTCAAAAATACAGACACATCTATTGCCACACAACACTTTCAATATCTTGGTTCAATAAGGCCAGACTAAAATCCAGGTTTATATTTTCCAAAATCAAAAACCTCCAGAAGACTTGAAATCACGATGATAATGTCAATAATTTAGCTTAAAAAGGATATCTCAAAACACCTATTAGGTAGGATTGTGAGAAAACAAATGCCCCAATTGTTCTATCACACCACTACTAAAATCCGAATGGACACATGGCTCCCGACAAGGGATAGCTCACTTCTTCCACAGGAAATCTGAAAATGTGTGAGGGCATTTATAGTTATCATCACAATGACTGGTCACGAGTGGTATTGACTAGAGGAAAAGCAGAAGGGAAATACAAACATAGAAGTTCTCCAATGTGAATGATAGTCTCATACAAGAACTGTCCACCTAAGATGTCAACATGACTCCCAATATAAGACAATAAATATATGTCATGAAAGTGAAAATCACTTAGAAACATTGGTTTCAGAATCACAGGCTCAAAAAGCATGACAAGAACATATAATACCACCTAGTTACAAAAGGGAAACAATGATCTCAAATTTGATATTTAAAAGAAAACTTGGGGACTTGGGGTCAGTGGTAGAGTGCTTGCCTACCATGCACAAGGTCCTAAATTGGATCCTCAGCACCACAAAAACATCAGTAAAAGAAAACTTAATTAGATACACATGCACACACAAGTCTGTATATACATATATATTTTTGCTGTCGTTTCCTAATCTCTATTCCTTACATAATATACCCAATAACTGTATAGTGCAGGCCCAAGTATTGCCATTTTGTACATGAAAAAATTGAGGGGCAGAGAAGTTAAATAACTTGCAAAAGTTCATGCAATTAATAACTATCACAATGATGAAATTTATACCCAGATAATTGGCCTTCAGTATCCGTGTTCTTAACTACTACAAAATACTACTTTAGCAAAAGAATGCTTATACAAATAGTTTTATGGTTCCATGAAAAGAAATAAAAATAATTTAAAAATTATAAACATTACAATGTTTAACGAATACAATTCAAGTTTAATTTATCTGTTATTCTTTACATTTGCAACCAGTAACACATTTATTTTGTTATGTTTGACAGAAAAATTGCCAAACGTATACAAAAGTGGAAAGAATAAAAGACTGAGCCTGATTACCAGCCACTTGGCTTCAACAATTATCAAAATTATGTCCAGGTTTTACTGATAGCCTCCCACCCACTCTCCACCTTATTATTATCATTACTACTACTACTACTACAATTATTATTTTAAGACACAGTCTCACTTTGTACCCCAGGCTATCCCCAAACTCACTATGTAGCCCAGAAAAGCCTCTTCCTGCCTCAACCTCTTGAGTGCTTGGATTACAGTTTTTGCAACTCAATGTGGCCTGTTAATTATTTTGAATCAAACATAAAAAAGTATATAGGGCTAGCAGAGTGGCTCAAGCAGTAGAGCACCTGCCTAGCAAGCACAAGGTCTTGAGTTCAAACCCCAGTACAATTTAAAAAAAAGTCCATAAAAATATATGAGTTCTGGGGCAAGATGGAGGAAAAGAAAACTTCTTTCTTGTGACTCCATGAATGAGAAGAATCAGGGTAACAAAGGACAGACTACATTCTGAAGAAAGAGAGAAAGAACATCTAGAAATATGAAAGAGGTGACAGGACAGCTGAAAAGCACTGAGAAAGAGAAAGACTATGCAGAGAAAAGTAGCAAACAGCCCACAGCTCCAACCCCAGCTCCTCCAGAGTAAGGGGAAGCTGAAGCCACAATGACAAGGTAAGCCAGGAAGCCCTAGTGACAACAGACTGGCAATCCTAACCACAGGCTGCAAAAGTTCATTGGGGCCAGTAGTGGCTCCAGGTACACAAGAAGGGAGACTTCTAATGTGAATGCAGGCTAGACTTAATGGCTCAATCCTATAATCCCAGCTCCTTGGGAGACAGAGATAGGGAGGGTCATGGTTAGAGGTCAGCCTGGGCAAAAAGTTAGTGAGACCCCATCTCAATCGATAAGCTAGGCATGGTGGTATACACATGTGATCCCAGCTATGGGAAGGCCATTCCAGCCCTAGACAAAAAACGTGAGACTCCACCTGAAAAATAACTAAAGCAAAAAAGGGCTGGGGGCATTGCTCAAGTGGTTCAGCACCTACCTAGCAAGCGAAAAACCCTGAGTTCAAAACCCAGGACTGCCAAAAAAACCAAGTATATACAGTGAACACAGCTCTGAAGCTGACAAATGACCTTGACTGGCCTGGCCTTCAGCCTGCATACAACAGCAGTCTGAACAGTGCTGTTACTATTACAGTGGTTTGTTTTCTCCTCTGAGTGGTACTAAGTATTGAACCCTCGAGAGAAAGCTGCTTACTACAAAGATTCCTGAATAAAACCAGAAGAGATATTCATCCAAAAAGTTGTACAGATCACAACTTAGAAACACAAGAAATATGAAAAAGCAAGGTAATATGACTTCTCCTAAAGCCTGTAACTCAATAACTGAATCCAAAGATACTGAAATGCCTGAAATGCCAGAAAAAGAACTCAAAAGTCTAGTATTAAAAATTATCAATGACCTCAAACAGGATTCAAACAAACTGATGAAGTAAGGAAGTCAGCTCAAGACCTGGATGAGAAAGTTAGTAACATAGTTCATGAGACCCCCTCTCCAAAACAACCAGAGCAAAATGGATTGGAGGCATGGCCCAAACAGTAGCATGCCTTTAAAAAATAACCCAGGAAGTGATAATTTGGGGTTTTAATGGCTTCTTAAATAAGTCTACTCCCTATTAAAATAATAAATAAAATTAACACAGTGAATAAAGACCACCAGATTTAAAGAACCTCTTAGTGAGATGCAAGAGGAAGACTGAGTATTTCTGGCAAAAAAAGAACTGACCTCTAGATCTCTAGATCAAACTACCAGTTAATAGAAAAAATAGGAGCCAATGAAACTATACCACAGGGATGCAACCTGCAAAACTTAGAATATAGGAAATTTTACCCAATTTGGTTTCTATAACAAGTTAAATGTAAGAATGGGGAGAAAAAAACAAAAGAACAAAAGAATGGATTTAAATAGATGAGAGATACAGTATCCAAATGCCACCGAATATGTGGCTGCACATTGCTAGGACACTAATTCACACCAACTATTTAAAAAAAAAAAACTACGTTTGCAAGCAAATTAAGAAACGAAGCATAATAATGTTATGGTAGTAATGTTTAAAAGATCCTGGGCACAGTGGTTCCCACCTGCAATCCTACCTGCTTGGGAGGATTATGGTTCAAAGCCATCCCAAGCAAAAATGTTTGGGAGACCCCATCTCAACCATGGCTGGGCCTGGTGGCATGCACCTGTCATTCCAGCTACATGGGAAGCAGAAATATTAATACAGAAAGGACTGGGGGGGGCAGGGATGGCTCATGCAAGGACCTAAGTTCAAAGTCCACAACCACCAAAAAAAAGACCCTTATCTTTGAACACTGCATTCTTAACTATTTATAGACAAATTGATAAGATTTCTGGAATTTGGTTCCAGAGAGATTATTATTCTCCAAAATAATGTGAAAGTAAGTAAACAGATATAACAAGTCTGGTCCTGGATGAAGCCAGATCAATGGATATATGGAGGTTTACTACGCTATTCTTTCTAAATGAGTACAAGGGGGGATGGATTAAAGGAGATTGATGAAGGGAGTGAATTCAACTGAAGATATCTTATAAGAACTTTTGTAAATGTCACAATGTAACCCCAGTACAATACTAAGAATAAAGAGAGAAAGAACAGAAATTTTTGGGCTGGGGACATAGCTCAGTGGTACAGTACTTGCCTACTACACCCAAGGCCCTGGGTTCCATCCCCAGCACCACAAAAAAAAAATCCTTTATGGGTGTGAGAAATAATTTTTAAACATTTCAGACTAGGTGGGCTCAAGTATATAGAGCACTTGCCTAGCAAGTGCAAAGCCCTGAGTTCAAACCCCATACCACCACCACGAAAAAAAAATTCTACCCAAACACACCACAAATCATTTTGGTGATCACACAAGACATGTCAACTCGTCCCATGTATCTAATTATACTAATAAAGCCTAATAAGGATTTTAAAGATGCATAAAAACAGGACATAAAAACAATTTTAACTTGGACTCTGTAATTGATTACAATACTCTACTCTTGAAATACTGAAATATCTGCATGACATATATCTATGAAAATCATATATCAAGTAGAAATAAGTTGGCTACCTCTCTCAATTTCTCTCGCTCACGCTCCCTCTCAGCAATACGTTTTCGCCTCTCTTCTTCTTCTTTAAGAGCATTTTGTGTTTCTGTTCTTAGTTTATCATCTTTAAGAATCTTCCGAATTTTCTTTCTGCCTTTTCCAGGAGACTTAGAATCATCATTTTCATCTTCCTCCTCCTCCTCTTCATCCTCTTCGTCTTCCTTTTTTTCTTCTTCAGAATTACTCTATAGAATTTAAATGATAAAGGTAAACAGTAAAATTTATCCATTTCACATTCCACCATTTAATATACCAAGAAATGATAAAAGAAAACATGGTGAAAAGCTTTAGAATTATATTTAGTGGTGATGATCCCTAAATACACCCAGGAGACCAATGCAGGAGGAATACAAGTTTGAGCCTAGCTTGAGACACATAGTGAGACCCTATCTCAAAAAAGAAAAAAAAATGTTGACTAAAACTCCAATTAAAATGGGCTGAGGAACAGAAAAAATAGATACTTCTTAAAAGAAGATACACAAATGGCTAATAAGAACATGAAAAGATGCTCAACATCGCTGGCTATAAGGGAAACGCAAATCAAAACCACAACGATACACCATTTCACACTCATTAAGATGTTCGTTGTTGAATAAAAAAGAAAAATAAGAAAATGAATGTTGACAAGGATGTGGAGAATTTGGAGTTCTGGTATGTGCTCGTACGGGATGTTAAATAACATAGCCAGTAGAGAAAAGGAGTGTGGAAGTTCCTCAAAAAGTTAAACACAGAAATAAAAAGAAGGAAAAGAGTTAAACACAGACTTATGTAAGATCCAATTATACTACTTGATGCATACCAAAAGGAATTAAACGCCAGTTTCAGATATTTGTACAGCCACATTTGTAACAGCATTACTCATATGTCTCTGAACAGAAGAACAGACAAACAAAATGTGGCATACATACACAAGGGTATATTCAGTCTTAAAAAGAATGAAATTCTGACGTGTGCTACAATATAACTGAACCTTGAAAACATTGTATCAATGAAGTTACATCCTACACAAAAGCACAAATGTTGTATAATACTACATATAGGAGGTGCTTACTTAAAATAGTCAAATTCACAGAGACAGAAATTAGAATAGACTTAATCAGGGACTGCAGAAGAGATAGGAAATAAGGAGTTACTGTTTAATGGGTCTGGAGTTTCTTTGTGCTTGTGAATGTAATTGAGGCCACTGAATTATATACTCTGAAATGTTTAAAAAGGTAATTTTTAGAAAAATGAACCCATCTGGGCTACAGATGTGACTTAGTGGTAGGATGTGCCAGGCCCTGAGGACACTTCTAAACACCACCATCACAACAACAAAAAAGATGAACCCTCCCCTAATAAAGAATAGTGTTAACAGAATCAAACATATTACAGCAATTTTTGCTTAAATAATCAATCCATATAAAAGAAACTCAAATTGGCTAATTTTATTGGTAGAAGAAACATATATGTAACTAATCATTCAGGTTAAAGCATTTTCTGTTGTCATGAAATATAACACTATGTACAACTTCCATAACCCTATGAATGTAAACTAATGAATTAGAATGGTTTAAATATCCATTAGAAATTGTATAGAAAAATTGGTTATAAAGATAATATTTTACCTCTTTATATACTCAATAAACAAGTCCTTCCACAAGTGTAAAATATATATAAGCCAATAAAATACAACTAATGAATGGAACACAGAGAGATAATGGTATATTTATTATAGTATACTAGATAGTATACCAATTATAATTCAAGCACATAACAAATGTCATCATTACTTTATTTTCACTGGATGAATCCTCTTGAACCTTAATACGTCGTCTTTTCTTTTTTTGTTTATAACTCCGCTGGTTTTCTTCCAATTCTGCTTTCTTTGCAGACCTGAAGAAAATTTTGAATGCAAAATAAAATACTTCATGAATTTCCTTCAATGAATTATGTACTACTTTGGAAATACTATAGCTCTGTGCATAGAAACAAATTATAAAAATTAAATTCTCTCTCTTCATAATAGGCCTTGGAGATTTAAAAAAACAAATCTTGCTGAGAAAAGTATTTCTGGGCTTAGAAAATGGTTTGCAAAGCCACATTTATTCAGACAAAATAACAAGTGCTAGGTTAGGATGATGCAAAGTAGAACCCTTGAATCTGAAGTGGTACAGCTGCTATGGAAAACCTAATTAAACAATAAATTAAAATAGAATTATCATATGATCCAATTTCACTTTTGGTTATATATCCAAAAGAGCTGAAAATAGGGACCTGAAGAGACATTTGTATATCCATGCTCATATTAGCATCATCCATAATAGCCGAAAGGTAGAAGCAAACCAAGTGTCCATAAATGGATAACTGGATAAAAAATATCTAATATTATTCAGACTTAAGTAAAGGGAAAAAATTCTGACACATACTACAATATGGATGTATCCTGAGGACATGATGCTAAATCAAATATGCCAGGAACAAAATAACAAATATTGCATGACTACACTTATATGAGGTACCTAGAGTAGTAAAATTCATAGACAGTAGGATAGTGGGTGGAGGGGTTAGAGGAAAGGGATGAAGGGGAAATACTGTGTACTGTGTACAGTTTCTGTTTTATAAAATAAAAATGTTCTAGAGAATGGTTGCTAAAATCAGTACATGTAATTAACACTACCAAACTATACACGTAAAAACGGTTAAGTTCACCTTACAGGCTCAAGCCTGTAGTCCTAGCTACTGGGGAGGTAGAGATAGGGAGGTTCGTTGTTCAAGGTCAACCCAGGACCCCAACCCAAAAAAAGTCCGTGAAACCCCATATAAGCCAATGGCTGGGTGAGGTGGTGCGCACCTGTCATCCCAGCTATATGGGGAAGCACAAATAGCAGGCCAGATGGAGCACAAATGGAACACAAAAGAGAGTCTCTGTCCGAAAAACGACCAAAGCAAAAAGGGGTGGCAGTGTGGCTCAAGTGTAGGGTGCCTGCCTAGCAAACGTGATGCCCCAAATTCAAACCCTGGTAACATTTAAAAAATAAAGGTTAATACGGTCAATTTTAGCTATGTTTATTTTGTCACCATTAATAATAATCATGGAAAAAGTAATGAAGTAGGCTAGGGTGTAGCTCCATGGTGTAGCTCAGTGATAGAGCACATGCCATCATTAACAAGAAACTTGGTTTTATTCCCCAGCACCACAAAAACAAAAGTAATGAAACACTGTTATAGACTAAAACATGGTTGAACCTTGAAAACTTTAAGCTAAGTTAAAGAATCCATTCATAAAAGCACACATATTTAGAGTTTCAGGGGTGAAGGAAATGTTCTGAAATCAGATAGTTGGCAGTGGTTGCATAACTGTGCACATTCTGAAAGCTAACACGAATACTGAATTTCATGTTATGTGTATTATATTTCAGTTTTTTTAAAAGTTCATATTATTATTTTATATTGTCCTGAAGTATAATATACTGCTATATACTAAGCATAGCCCTGATAAGTATTAACCTAAAAAAATCTCAAAACATAAAAAGTACAGATAGACATTTATGTAGACATGCACACGTACACAAACAGAAATAAACTATTTGCTAAATTATAGAAGGATCATGTTATTCTGGAAGAAACCTTTTAATTCTCAGAATGGTTACTATTATCTAAAAAAAACTATGCTGAAAAAGCAGCAACATTTTTATGTAACTAGTAATCTGGACATAGAGAAAAAACACATCTTTATTATTCTAATACTAAGAACAATAATTAGCATTCATTAAACAATTACTAATTGCCATGTACATATTGTTATAATCCTTTTACATACATTGTCTTATTTAATGCCCACAATAATCAATAAGGTAAGCATATTGTAATCCCCTATTTTACAGATGAGAAAACTGAGGTGTAGGATATTCATACAAATAGAAAGTAGCAAAGCCCAAAGTCAGATTGAAGATGTTTGTCTACAGAGTCTCTTATCTAATACACAACAAATTCCTTTCATAATAACCAAAAGCTTCAGTAAGGAGTGGTTATGCACAATGAAATATATAAAATATGTTCATACTTTTTAAATTAAGAATTTTAAGTTAGATTCAAATCAAAATATTCTGTATATTACTTAACTTCATTGGCAATAGCAACCATTTTTCAAGTAATCTGAAGCACAATTATTCAGATTAATTCCTAAAATTTGACAAAAACGTGTAATACCTTGTTCTAGGACGCTGTTCATCTTCAGATTCACTAACTCCTTCACTAACTCCCGATTCCTGAAAATCAGAATCTTCTGAATCTTCACTGCTCACTTGAATTAAAAAAAAATCAAATTGGTAAATATTTTACAAAAGAAACAAAATTCACTTAATTTGCCAATAACTTCCCATTAAAATTTATCGAGCATTATATGAAGAACATTAGTAGTATACACATGAATGCACATTACATCATATAGAATATACCACTTAATGATTTAAATAGCAGAAGTTGAGCATCCCTAGTAAGAAAATCTGAAACTTCCTGAGTGCTAACATGATTCCACAAGTGGAAAATCTCACTTCTGACCTCATGTGATGAAATGCTATCAAAATGCAGGTACACAAAAAAGATTGTACAAAATTACCCTCAGGCTCTGTGTGTAAGGTATATCCTTACCCAAGATACCTCATTATTCACACGGAAATATTCCAATCCAAACAAAAACCCCAAAATATGAGATGCTTCTGATCCCAAACATTTTGAATAAAGTACAAATATAATTCATATGCATTCCAAACGTAATTATTAAACTACAGTTCTACATTAAAGCATAAGTAGTTATATATAGATTAACAAAATGAGAACTACCAGTCAGTAAAGTTAATGAAAAAGAGGTCTGGCCATTTAAAGTGAAGTAGGCTCATCAAGATGGAGAAAGATGATTACAGACTCCGCCCCCCCCCCATTGATGACAACTAAAAACTATGAACAGGACACATAAAGAAACCACGTAAGGACTCAAAGAGAAACAGTAACAAGCAGATTGTTGCCTGAGTAATGACTCCTCTGCAATGGTGGAATGAGAGGGATGCACAAGACAGGACAGCTGTGAGTGTCATGGGTTATTTTCTTCCTAGGTTTCCTGGTTTTGATTGGAAGGCAAGCCAAATTCCAAAACTACACAGAGGGTACTGACAGCAAAACTGTTACAGTTTTCTAGCCAAAGCACTGGGGGAAAGGAACCCTGCATGTTGTGACTAGAGTTTGAAGGAAATCTCCAATGTTACTTCTCTTATTTCTGTATCGCAATTGTCACAGTGACAGAGGCATATGAAATTCCAGAAGATCCATATGTCACACAAAACGGGGTGAGGAAAATCCAAGATAAGCCTCAAACACTTTACAATGGCATAAAGCAGTGTTCAAACAATGATAGGCACATGTAGAAAGGACATAAAATCCAACTTGAGGGAGCTCCTAATAGTCAAAGCTGGAACAATTAGAGCAACACAATAAACATTATACTAGTGCATTTTGGAAATAAAATCTCAAGGAAGTAGAGAGTAGAATAGTGGTTACCAGAGGTAGGGGAGGTTAGGAGAAAGGAAGGGAGGAGATTGGCTAATGGATACAAAGAAACAGCTACATAGGAGGAATAAGTTTAGTGGCTAGTACAGAAAAGGGCAATTACAGTTAATAATATTGTATATCATGTATTTCAAAATAGCTACAAGACTTTGAAAGTTCTCACCACAAAGAAACGATAAATGTTTGAGATTGACAAATGAGCTAAAAATCCTGATTTGATCACTACACAATGTATATATGTATGAAAACTTCACACTGACCACCATAAATATGTATAATTATATCAATTAAACATTTAAAAAGTAAACATCTGTAAGTCCATATTAATATAAATAAATATAAATAAGTATATGGGAGGAAAGAGTTTTTGCTTACAATTACTAAATGTGGAAGTAAGACATAGAAAATCAGTTATTAGGCAAACACCCCAGTAATAACTGCTTCAGGCAAGATGGATGCTAAAATTGGTGGGCTTAAAATACAATAATAGGATATGTGCATAACCTCAAAGTAGCTCCGCACAAAATACTCATTATACATAAAGAGAAAAATCATGTATTTTCCTTACAATGTTAAAAACCTGCAGACAACAACTTAAGTTATGTAGCTAGTGTTAGTATTACCAGTTAAAAGAAATACTGATGTAATACACCCTTGAAATGATGTACTGAGAATGATACATCAACTTCTGTGGTATTCTTGTCAAAATGTATAGTAACTTCAATTTATTTTTATTATATTATTGTTGTACTGGGGCTGCACTGTGGCATTTACAAAAGTGCTTACAATATATTAAGCTCAATTTAATCATGAGAAAACATTAGACAAAAATATATTGAAGGACAGCTGAGAAAATAATGAATCAATACTCTTCAAAAGTCTCAAAATCATGAATGAAAAGAATGAGAGACTGTCACAGATTGGAGCAGATTAAGGAGACATTATATGTGAACGCAATGTGGGATATTTAAACTGGATTACCTGAGCAGAAAAAGAACATTAATGGGAAAGTTAATGATGTTTGAGTAAGATACATAGCTAACTTCAGATGGCAAAAAATGCTTTGTGACTTTATGGACCATACAGTCTCTGTTGCAAATACTCATCTCTACTCAACTGTTTCGTTGTACGTATGTGAAAACAGTAAATGAATGAATATGGCTTTGTTTCAGTAAAACTTTATTTTAGAAAAACAGGCAGTTACATGTGACCCAAAGGTGTAATTTGTCAACACCTGGCTTAGTTAATAGTATTGTACTGATGTTATTTTCTTATTTTGATAATCATACTATGTTATGTGTAAGATAATAAATCATGGCAACCAGAGGAAAGGTACACAGTAACTCGGTATTATTTTTGCAAGGCTTCTGTAGATCTAAAATTATTTCAAAATAAAAAACATTTAAAAACCTATCTTGACCTAAGATCAGAATTAAAGTTCCCTTCTAGCTAAACAACACAGAACATAAATATAACAAATTGCTGAGGGAGAGAGAAAGGAAGAGGGGAACAAGGAATTACTGTTCAATGGGCACAGAGATTCTATCTGGAATGACGGAAAACTTCTGAAAATTGATAGTGGTAATGGTTGTGCAGAAATGTGATGCCAGTGAATAAGGCACTGAAAACAATAAACTTGCATTATACATGTTATACTCTGATAGAAACAATTGCTAAGCAATTAAGAAGCTGAGAGAAGTACAAAAACACACGTTAAAATGTGTGCCCACATGCATGTACTAACAAACCCTGTGATTAAGTAGAATTTTAAGCCTAGTATTAATTTTTTCATCCAATATTTAATTATAAAAAATTTCAAACCTAGCAAAAAATGTAAAAGAATTGTTGCATGAACATGTATATTCCTTTTCCTAAATTCTCTTACTATCAGTTTACCAGGTTTCCTTTATCTCAATACATGCACACACATTCACCCAGTTTTTTACACTAAACCATTTGAAATTAAGTGTAGATATCATGACACTTTACCCCATGCATAAATATCACATCTGAAAAATTAGCATTAATATCATCTACTATAAAGGCAATACCTACAGTTTCAAATTTGTCACTAAAATAATTTTATATTCATTTTCAAATTTAGGAGAAAATTAAAGTTCACATCCTGAACTGTTTCCTTACCTCTTTAATTCAGATTAATTTTAATCTTATCAAATCATTAGATTTTATAAGTAAGCTATTCTCTATTGATTCCTCCCCACCTCCAAATTCAAATTCCCAGGCAAGAAAGGGACAGCCGAGTTTACAAAATGAAGAAAATCATGCAATTCAAATATAACTGTCAATCACTGTGACGATAAGATATTAATAGGATTTTAGGAGTTTACTCTCTCCTATATAAACAAACAAAAAAATCACTTGGCAATAAATTATATACATACAACTGGGCAGTGAAAATATATGTCATAGACAACTTGTATTTCAAAACAGCAATTTCTTTTTTTTCTTTTGCAGCACTGGGGTTTAACTCAGGGCCTCATACTTGCTAGGCAGGTGCTCTTACCACTTGATCCACTCCGCCAGCCCTGCAAATCTTTTCTTGAAATGGAGTCTCCCTACGTGCACAGATGAAACACCAGGTAGTCCATATTTAGCTGTTATACTTGTTTCCTCCCAGATCTAGCAACTAAGTCAAGACCTCAGACCTACCTCTTCTTCTTAAATGAAATAGGACTGCAGTGGAGAAAGGGTAAAAGGAGTTTTTTAGGAAAACTTCATTCTCACAAGTTAACAATCAACTGATTTGTTCCTATTACATCTTGATTAAAACCTTTCAAAGGGGAAAAATGTTTGAGCCGAGTGAACCCTGAATGCTTGCAATGAACATCCTATCCCTCCTTCAGGGTGCCTTATTTGCTCTTGGTTGTCTGTCCACTATGCACAATTTTTAATATATAGAATATACTTTAAATAAAAAGTTTTTTGAAAAAGTGGTGGTACTCCTCTGTGAATATACTAAAATCTATTAAATTGAACACTATAAAAATGAGTTAATTGTGTATTTGTAAGTGATAACTCAATATAGCTATTATACAAAAATATAAAAAATAAAAACAATTTTAAAACAACCTTCAACGGCTCTCCATTCTACAAAGTCTTATACTTCTCACACCATTCCAAAAATGCTTTCTGGTTTCTCATGGCAAAGGAGCTAATCTGCCCTCCAGAGTCTGACCCTAACTACCTGTCCAAATGCTCCAACAAGTATCACATTTAATTGACTAGTACACAAGATTATTTAAAATAAAAATGCTCTCCCCAGTATCTGAAGTAAGATGGACACATCAGATGTACCCCTTGGTATACCACCAATGACTTAAGTTTAAGAAACACAGGCTTCCAAGGGTTGCCAGTATCTGGTCTCTCAGCCTCATTTTCTGTTGTTCCTTTCCCTACTCCCATTGTAGTACAGCGATACCATGTTAACTACAACCCCTCCACTATGTACCAAACATTTTATACAGGCTTTAAAATTTTTCCCTGCTTATATAATAAATCCTCACAACAAAGAACTGCGGATGTAGCTAGGAGGTAATACACTTGCCTAGCATGCACAAGGCCCTGAATCCAATCCTCAGCATGCAAAAACAATTCTTCACAACACATCTACCTGACCCCCATTTTCAATTTGATCTATTGGGTAAAACTGTTCCTCTTTGTAAAGCCTTCTCTGGGGATCACCCTACTCCCAAAGAAGCTAAAAAATAAAACCTACTTTGTGCCACACGATATAATACCTCTGTTACATAAAATATTCCTCATGTGCTGTACTCTTTTTATAATCTTAATGTCTATTAATTCTTACTAAACTGTCAAGCTTTGCTACATATCAAAATCACTGAGATACTTCTAAAATATTGAGATATCTAGGTCTCAGCACCGAAGACTATGATGTCAACTCTAGTCCTATTTTTTAATTGATACAATTGTACATATTTATGGGATACAGTGTGATAATTCAATACTTGCATAAAGTATGTAATATTGCCCAACCTGGGCAAAAGTTAGTAAGACTCTATCTTAAAAATAAGCTGGATGTGGTGGAGCACAACTTTAATCCCAGCTACTTTGAAGACAGAGGTAGGAGGACGACCCAGGCAAAAGCTCTAGATCCTAAAAAATAAACTAAAAAGCAAAAGGATTGGGGTGTTGTTCAAGTGGTAAAGAGCTTACCTATCAAGCACAAAGCCCTGAGTTCAATCCCCAATACCACAAAAAAAAAAAAGAGAGACATTTAACATTTCTTTGTATTGTGAACCTTCAAACACCTCTCTTCTAGTTCTTCATAAAATATATAATAAAGGACTGTGTGCAGTGGCTTATGCCTGTAATCCCAACTACTCAGACAGTAGAGATCAGGAGGATCACAGTTTGAAGCCAACCCAGGGAGAAAAAAAGTTAATGAGACCCCCCCTCCCCCATCTCAGTCAATAAGCAGGGCATGGTGGTACACAGCTGTGGTCCCAGCTACAGAGAGGCCATGGGTAGGAGGATCATAATCTGAGGCTGGCTCCAGGTAAAAACACAAGACCCTACATAAATAAATAACTCATGGAAAAAAATGGGCTAGAAATGTGGCTCAAGTGGTAGAGCACTTGCCTAGCAAGCATGAGGTCCTGAGTTCAAACCCTAGCACTACCAAAAACTATAGAGAGATAGAGATATATAATTATTATAAATTATACTCACTTGATCCTAGAAGTATTCCTCCGATCAAACTGTACTTTAGTACCTGCTATCCCACCTCCCTCTATGCCCACGCTTAACCTCACGTGACCACTATTTATTCTCAACTACATGAAATGAACTTTTTTAGCCTATCCACACAAGAACATGTGGTATCTGTTTTTCTGTGCCTGGTTTACTTTACTTAACTGATGTCCTCCAGTTTCCTGTATTTTAAAACTCCCCCAAATGATTCACATGTGCAGCAAGATTGAAAACTGTTACACCAATGCTCTCCTAATTGATTTTTGTATCTTAAATGCTTAATGTGGTCCTAGAGGTATGTAAGGCCCTCAAGACAAAAGAACTCATCCTGGACATGGTGGTATATGCCTTTACCTAGCAGGCAGGAACCTGAGGCAGGAGGATCATGAGTTCAAGGCCAGCCTGGTGTACATAGTAAGACCCTATGTCAATAAAAAACAACAACAACAAAACCCAAACATTAAGTCTCAGACTTTTAATATGATGAAAATTCAATCTGACTACATGCAAATCAAGTTCTGCATATAACATTGCAGAAATCTACCCAAACTAATTGTATCCTTTATCTTTCCATAGGAAAGCACTTTTTCTTCTTGCAGTTGTATGCAACTCTTATCTTTTCTGTATAGCCTTCAAGTGTATTTTAAGTTACATTCATTTTTCTTTATACCCTAAATATTTATGATGACTAAAGATTTAAAATACTCTTCGTAGGTCAGTTCGAGAAGAATCAACTTAGAATATAACACATATGTACGTGGAAGCAATGCTAGGAATCTCCCTGTATAGTTATCCTTATCTCAACCAGCAAAAACACTTTGTCCTTATTATTGTTTATACTCTCTCTTCAATAAAATTAGAGATAAGGGCAGAACAGTTTCTACCTGGAAGCGAGGGAGGGGGAGACAGGAGGGGAGAAATGACCCAAACATTGTATGCACATATGAATAAACGAAAAATAAAAAACTCTTTGTGTTGCCAAGTACTGATGCTCTCTTAATATCGGTAATCGACTGTTTGATCATATATACTTAAATTTTATTACCATAGATAGTATATAAACCAGTACATTCCTTATATTCTGAATTAAAATGTCTTACCTTTTCTTCTATTTCTACCCTTAGCTTCTTTATGCTCTTTAAGCTTTGTCTTTTTTTCTTCTCCAGATTCTCCATCACTCACAGCCAGTTTGTGCCGCAAAAGCCTATGTCTGTATCTTGGCTTCTTAGATTCTTCAGAATCTGAATCAGATTCGGAATTGTCTTGATTTTTTGCTTCTAAATGAAGGAAATATATCAATAAATCCTTCTTCAGCCTATTTTTCTTTAAAATATTATTTCTTCAATGCCTATTGATAATTACTATAATTTACAGAAAAGATAGGAGCTGTACAATGATACCTTGGTATAGTAGGTAATCTCACAATCAGACTTGATATATTACCATTATTAAATATTGACTAAATGTCACGTGTTTATTACTTTAAAACATAAAATATTTTTCCTTCAAGAACATGTTTATTGGCAGTAACTGACAAAACTAGAATATATTCTACATTTACTACAAGATACTCAAAAGAGTAATGACAATAAAACCTTAATATTAAATGCATGTATTAAGAGAGCTTTTGGTCAGATATTCTTCAAGGACTGAACTGCTCAAGGAACCACATCATGACACCCTACACTTCTCTTTAGGGAGCTCACCCTCATATCCTGGGTTTTCTTCATTTGGTTTTCCATTTCTCTTTTTCTCTTCTTCTGGTTCATCATCTGAAGATCCTTCATCATCAGAGGAAAGATTGGCTTTAATTTCTTCTAAAAGCATCTTCTTGGCAATTCTTGAGAGTAAAAAAAAATTTAAAAAAAAACTATATATTTGGGGGTAAATTGTACCAAATTAAAAGCAAAACACATAATTCTCTGTATCAAAATAGAAATAAACATGTCAATAGATTTTATATTATAAACAAAAGACTAGTAAAACCATGTTTTAACCTCAGGTCCCAACAAACACTTTAGAAAATGGTCTTTGTACTGATTATTTCTCAATGTTATACAATTTTGCAAGCCAATGAAAAATCTCATGGATATATTCTATTGACTATATTTGCTTTGTTGCCATCATCCAACAACTACAATGTAAGACAGGCCAACTACAGTTGATCCACTTATCCAGAAACTCCATAGGAGAGGTTTAATTCAACAGTAAAACATATTCTTGAAAAATTAGTATATAATAAACCAACACACTATTCAACATTGCCTCAAACAGGAGGATATTCTTGGACCTTTGTTACCTTACTTCATAAATCTGTTAACCAGATGAAAGTAGCACCAAATATTTAGTATGAAGCAACCATAAATCTCAATATCCAAGCTAGGGCAGAGAAGGGACATGAATGCTATTAATTACACACAGTAAAAGAACACAAATTACCATAAATGAGTTTTAACTTTCAAAAAAAAAAAGTAACGCAGTAGCTTCACTCTCAATTTCTCAAGATGATCCTCTCAAAGAAAAATTTGTTAATAGAAAAATCGATTGTTAAAAGCATGAGAAAACACTTCTTTTACAAATAGCATATGCTAAAATATATGTTTTCACTAAAGAAAATTATTTGAAAATGTAAAATAAAAGCAATCATGAAGCTTCTGTGTTGACCAGTATGGGAATCCTTTTGCCATAAATTCATAAATCACAGGAACAAAAGAATACATTATAGAAAGGTTCAAAAAGAAGATGGCAAGATCCTAACCGTTTGCCATGAGTTACCTTCTATGGAATAAACAAACATCAATTCAGCAATCAAGACTGACTATCTCAGCCAAATTTAATAGTAAGATTATGGAACCTTTGTTATTTCTGGATTTGAAACACATCTTTTATATTTCTTAGCACGGACTCACATTTCAATCAAGAATTCATTCAATGGTAGGAGAGGCTAATGCACTTTAAGACTTTCAGCTTTGACAGGTAAAATGTTCACTGCTATTTATATTCAAAAAATGCCTAGCAAAGGCATCTAGACTTAAGCAAACTAGGCAATAGCTTCCAGAAATGTTTGTTATATGCCTTTTTGTGCTTCTCCTTCAAACAGATGGATCAGAAATATTTAGACAAAACAGAAAATCACCAATTGGAAAAGAAAGCCACAGATGAGTTTGTTTTCTAAGGGTTTCTGCCCTAATTTTTACTTCAATAAAATGTAGATTACATCACCCCAATTTAAATATTACTCAATTTGAGTTCTAAAGCTTTGGTCTTATACTTCTAGATCAGTGCTTTGCTGTCTTGGATTGCCATATACTAAACACCTTAAAATGGAGACTAATAAAGGGTTGCAACCTTTTATTTTGTCAAGAAAAAAATTTTTAATCCAAATGCTATTTACTTTCATCATTTTATAAAATAAAAAGTATGTCCAACACATCCTCCTCCCCCAATCAAACAACAGTTTCAAAATAAAGGGAAGTACTTCAAATTGAATGGAGAAAATTCTCTAAAATCTTTAAACACACAATATTCTCATTTCTCATGAACAAGGAAAGACTTTCTCAAGTTAATTTGGGTAGTGAATTTTGGAATGAATACATGTGCATGTGTATAAAAGATATGAAATGTTGGGTACTGGATTAGAAATGGAAAACATAAATTAAAAGGAGAGCTTATATCGTCATTTGAATAGAATAGCCAATAGACTAAATTCTGAATCTAGTTACTCTAAATGTTAGTTCAACAATCTGATTTCAGTTTGTGTTTATACATTCAAGCCTTAAAACTCCGTACTAGCTGTAAAAACCTGGTTGATGACTGTGAGCAACCACGTAAGTTTTCTTCTTTCAAACTCAACTCCTAAGAATATGTGTACTAAATGGGAAATCAAAATATGTAAACCCACCTAATTCATTCTCAAACTTTGGACTATCAAGAACAAGGAAATATGATGCATGTAAGATAGTAAATTATAACTGGATATCAACTAGTAAATTATATAATAAATTATAGAAAACGAAATCAGATCCACATACTGAAGAATTACAACTTATCACCAACCTTCAGTAAGACCATAATATACAGAACAATTATCATCACTTTAGAAGCAGAAAACTGCAAACTTTGGAGAATGGTCACTTTTCTCCCAATTAGTTACCCTTTATAATTTTTTGTGGTGGTACTGGGGTTTGAACTAAGGGTCTCATGCTTGCCAGGCAGGTGCTCTATCACTTGAGCCATGCCCCCAGTCCCTCCTCTATCATTTTTTCACCAAAGAAAAACATTTTTATAGTCAGGTAAACTAAGAATTTTAATAAAGTTGAATGATTTTGCATAATTATGACTGATGGCTCAAGTCTAATGTCAAAAAAACTACTATACTATAAACCTAGCCAATAACATAACCTCATTTTAGAACCTAAAAGACTCAGGGCTGTGGCTGACCTTCAACCTGAGTAGTCAGCAAGCATGCTAAGGTGAGATGTGTCCCATCTACAAGCCTGCTGTGAGATGCTTTAAAGGGAAACTCCACTACCTTAACTCTGGAGTCACGGGCCACAGAGACTTCAAGGAACATCATCACTTGAGAACCACTGAAGCTGGCAAGCATCATTTTGGAGGCCCGGCTGGAGCCGTGCTGGCATGCATGTGATGGATGTATAGTCATGATCCCTAGTTGATTCTGTTTGCTCTGAAGTTTCCTTTCTTGAGGCTTTCCAAGACGTTTCTGGGAAAATCATCCAGGCAACAAGGTACTGCCCCTGAAATCTCAATGCTCAATATTACATCTTGGGGCAGGTGTAGCATCCAAAGCAGTCACAACTCTATCAGAAGAATTAGAGGCACAGGTGGTGCCACTCTTGTGGCAGAAAACCTGAGCAGAGCCGGAGGTAATGGAGCCACTCCTCCACTTTCCTGAAAGGGAGGGAAGGGAGAGGGGAGAAAGCAAAACAATATGGGAGGGAAGGGAAAAACCCACAAACAAACAATGATCTTGGAATTGGTGCATGAAAGAATAAATAGGACCCTAAAGTCCACACAAACTAAGTCTTCTAAATTACATAATGAACACTAAGATAAGGCCTTCTCACACCTTCATCTACTAAAAGAAAGCAAAAATAAAATAATGAGCCCAACAACACAAACAAGCAATTAGGAAAACAAACTTGGAAAGTCAAAAACGCCTTTAGAAATTATGATCCTATCTAGAAAGAAAATGAGTAATGTCTCCTTTTAGCACTCAAATAGGACAGTAAACCCTCCTGTTGCTAGTATGTAAATAAATGATATAAAATGTTGAATTTCTTAAAAAGGGAGCATCAAGAGATGGATCTCTTACACCAGGGTGATTTAGAAAAGTGGCCAAAATAAAAGCAATACAAAACGTTAGAGCTAGAAGAAAGAACCTTACATTCCAACTATGGCATTTTAAAGATCAAGAAACAGGCTTAGAGAGGGGAAATGATTTCACTAAAGAAACAAAGCTAGTTAGTGACAAACCCAGTAGAAGAACCTAAGAATCCCAATCTGCTAATTACTTTTAGTATGCCAGTGTACACATTAATCACTTCTGTGCTGAGCACATGGATAAAAACATTATAGTCACATTCTTAGAGCCATATATTCCACTGGTTTCAAATTTATGTATTTAGAAATGAAAAATCCAAGCTTTGACTTTATTTTTTTTTAATATGGACTGCTTCATGAACTTCCATGTCATCTTGCATAGGGGCCACACTAATCTTCTCTGTATCGTTCCAATTTTAGAATCTGTGCTGCTGAAGCAAGCACAGAGCTTTGATTTTTTTTCCATTTATTCATATGTGCATACAATGTTTGGGCCAAGCTTTGACTTTTAAAGATTAAAAACCACAGTTTTATAAACCTTTAGTCCACTGTACTTCAGCTCTAAAGTGCACTGACAGGCTGTCAGAGATCCATCCTACAGCTACTGTTTTATCTTTTAAGAGGCTCAGAAAACAAGTTTGAGGAAGAATCGCTCAATAAAAATTACATTTGTAGAAGGCCAAAATACTGTGCATCCATAGACAAGGGTAACAAAACTTGTTGAAAAACTGTTTTTCTACTTTCTATGCAAAATATCACAATATATAGTTAACAGAATTTCTGAATGACATCGTGCTACTTAGACAAAATAATTGTCTGTGTATCACTAAAACATCATACCATATTTTCAAGATGGTTTGTAAAACATTTCAAAGGAATACAGCCAAGGAATGTTAAATATTTTGTGGTTAAACACATTTTCTTCCAGTAGTGTCAGGCTTTGTTCTAAGTAAATGTCAAGTACGTTAGGGGCTAAATTTTTTAAATAAAGCATTTTATAGAATTACTATGGAGGTCTTCAAACTTTATATGAGTATATATTTTGATATGAATATTAAAAATGAGTAAGGCATAAAAATCTGTACCCAAAAATGATGGAACTCATGACATAATGATGAACTCACCAAATAATCAAAAGTCAAACAGTGTGAAATATTTTTTAAGTCACATGTCCTATAATGTCTATAATTAATGAAAAGCAGACTTATTTTCTTTTTGGTGAGGTAACAGGAAAAAGTAGTAACAAATGACTTTAAAAATCTCAGTAGAAGAAAAAAATAAGAGCTATACTAAATTAAGAAACCATAGTTACTAATAATTTAGACATAGGCTATCATACGTAAATTGGCCTGCAATACAAAATGTATATTCACTGATTTTATTTTTAAAAATCATAAGTTTTAGAGAAAGTTTAATAAGAAAAGATGTTAACACTGATATGAATTTAGGACATTTAGTCATATTAAAGTATTAGCTCAATGTATTTTACACTTGAAAAGTGAAAATGGAATTCAAAGTCAA